GGGGAGGACAAGCACAAAGAGTTAGGCTCGTTAAAATCTACTAGTATAACAGAACCCTCAAGGAACAGGGGGCCAGGAGATGAAGCTGAGGACCAGGTCCTGGGAGCCACAATTACAGCAATAACTGACAAAGCAAAGGCGGTGAAGAAGGTTGACCAGCAGGGATTTGCAGGGGTGGTTCATGGAGCACAACACCCTTAGGGTGTTAGCAACACATGTACAGCTCCTCCAGCCTCTTCAAACTCTGGTGCTCTCTCTGCTTCTTTGCCAGTTTTCTGCTCAATATGTGCAGCTTAAAAAAAAATCAAAAATGGAAAGTCAGGAGGCTGAGAGTGGTTGCTCTGAAAAATCATGGTTCTTTGATCAGTTCCCAGAACTGAGCTGATTTCAGGTCAGAATCTACTAACAAGAGGACTAAGTGCCCTTGAGGAAGGACTCTGAAATGCTGTGGCAAGGATGCACTGGAAGGATTTCTCCAGTCCTTCTCAAAAGGAACCTGCAGGCCCTACTCAGCTGGCTACACACCATTTCCAGGACTATGAGGCACAGGGTCTAAGCAGATAGCATAATCCAGAGACTCACGGCATCAGCATGCCAAGTTCATTTGTGTGGCCACTTACAGGGTCAGGGGATAGTGGAATCTTGGGTAAAACATGGCTCACATACATGCATTTTACCTAAGGACCCACCTGGTGGCCCACACCCATTTCCTGAGTACACAGTTGAGATCCATACACTCAGGCAGTAGGACTATGCCCCACAAGGACACAGAAAAGTTAAAAATAACACCATGAAAGTGCTGTAACAAATGCTATCCAAAAAGCATTGACGTACACTTATTTTAACAGCAGGTTAAGTAGAAATTTAGGCAAAAACAGTACCAGAAAAAACATTCAAAATAAGACTTGGTTCACCAAGAAGACAGAACAACTCTAAATTTGGATATATTAAACAAAAACATTGGAAAAATACACAAAGCAAAAATGTCAGAACTATTAAAGAAGAAAGTGACATATTTATCAAGTCAGTCTTTATCTTCTTAGAAACTGACAGATACAAACAAAAAAATCAAGGAAGAATATTTCAACAATTTTATCAAGCCAGTTTAAAATAGTAAACAAATATAAACACTAAATCTAACAGTGAAACATTGTGTTCAAGCACACACATATGAAGTAATCTTTTCTGTAATTATTATATAAGTAAGAAAAAAAAACTTTAGAGTTCTCTTACATTTTGAAATTTAAAAATATACTTTTAGTACATAATTATTGGACCAAAGAGTAGCAACAGAAATCCTAATTAAGAGCCAAATCCAGTGGTATACACCTGTGATCCCAGCAATGGGAGGCTGAGACAGGAGGATCACTGGGAGCTTGAGGCCAGTTTGAGTTATGCAGTGAGTTTAAGGTCAGCCTGCACTACATAGCAAGATCCTATCTCAAACACGAAAACAAAACAAACAAGAAAATTTAAAAAAAAAAAGGATTCTCATTAAAAGAACTAATGATGCGTTTTTCAGCAAGAGGAAAAGTCCGTTGGGAAGAGGGAAGTGTCTAGGAAGAGTGGTAAAAAGAGAAATTCATTAACTACTATTAGTAGTTTAATAAAACTGCTTCTTAAACTACTATTGATTTTTGAGCATAAGGTGGTGATTAAAAATTGACATAACAATAAGGAAACTAGGACAAAGTATCCCTTACATTGTCTAGGTGAAGAAGGAAAGAGAAACTGTAGACTTTTTAGACCTGAAAAATACTAGAAATAAAAACATAAAAAGTCCCTTGCATCAAAGAGAGAGAGAGAGAGAGAGAGAGAGAGAGAGAGAGAGAGAGAGAGAGAACATTCCATCTAGAAGACATGAACAGAGAATAAAAAAGAAAAACCCCACTTGAGCATATAATAAATTTGTAGCCCTACATCAAAATATATCAACAATCATAATAAACATACAGGAGCTCAAAATATCTGTAAAAGAAATCTTATCAGAGTGGACAGTGAAAAAAAAATTCAGATAAATGAGGCTTACCAAAAACCACTTCTAAACCAAAATATCCCAGAAAAATCAAAATAAAGAGATGGAAAATATGTACTAGGGAAAGGAGAGCTCGGAAAAACATAATTTAGTCAATGCAAAACACAAGGCAAAGAGCATTATTGGCAATAAAGAGGGACATGGTACAATGATGATTTTTTTTAAAAGAGTATTTCAACAAGATGATAAAAATAAGATAGTTTTAAAGTATGTATTTTAAAAACTTTACAGAATTAAAAGATAAAACTGAAAATATCACATTATTGTGTATGATAATTATGCACTTTTATTAATGATACTGATTTAACATTTATGATTAACATATCTATTTTAAAATGTGCTGTATATCACTAACATCATAAATGTTTAAAAATAACATTATTTTATATACCATTAAAAAATAGTCCAATAGGAGGAGCTTCCGTGAAAGAGGTCTGCTCTCCTAAACACATGCATATCACAAAGGGAATATTAAAAAGACAACATGTGAAACAGGGGCCAGGGGTGCCAGTCAAGTGCGGGGTTCTGAGTTCAATTCCAGTACTAAAAAAAAATGTGAAGTAGGCAGGAACTATATTGTAGCTCTGAGCTACATCCCCAGCAGTAATGTGTGAAATAGAAAAACTAAACAATCAAAACACAAAAGAACAGGAAAATAATTTTTAAAAAACCCAAAATATCTAGTTCTTTCAAAAGGTCAATGAAATAGGCAAACTTCCTAAAAGACTGGCAATGAAATCAGAAAAGGCAGCTCAAATAAAACGTAATTATAGGTGAAGGGAGAAAAAGATAAGGATGGTTAGGAAGAGAAGGCAAGAGAATAGATAGGCAAGGGGCTGCTTTTGTTTCCTTTCTAAATAGTTACTTTAGGACGGCAATGAGACAACGTATTAATAGTTATAAGGAGAGGCTGGAAGCAGGAGCCAGGAAGCCAGAAGAGGTCTCTTATGGGGTAGGTATTTCCCTAGACTAGAAGAGGAAAAGAAGAGAGGCGTATGCTGGAGAAGTTCCACGCACAGAAAGAAGAAGGGGTCCAGGCTCGTGAACTGACTAGGTGACAGTGGGTGTGAGCATGACAACTGCAGTGAAGCACAGGGAGAACAAAGTATGCGCAGGCTGAGGAGCTGTGAAGCAGGAGCACTGCAGGGAAATAGGTTCCTAGAGGAAGGCATATGGCAGTGCTGTGCGCCAAGTGGGAATTGGCAGTGTTTCCAGGACAGGGATCTGTCTAAATAAAGCTTGCAGCTCTTATAGTAGCTATGACGTCCTTACCCATATTAATCACTCAATGAATATTTACTGCTTTGCACTGCAAATGTCAAGCATGCATCTAAATAAATGCTTATCACGGAGCTGGTGTCTCATACTCAAGACTTTCCTCAAGTATGTAAGGTACTCACAGCATCAGCTCTGTAAATTATAGTGGAGACTGTGACTTGATTCTGATACAATAGTATACATGTAAGATAGATATCACACGTCACGTGGAAACTAAATTATTAGACCTCTGCTCACCCATTTTTGTTCCAGAATAGAATGCTTTGGATCAGTGCTACGTATGCTGCATTGATCCCAAACTATTTCTCAGGAAGATTATAATGGTTCTACTGTAAGAATCTATTTTGGGGTCTAATTCTCAGGAAAATACATGTAGACAATCAAGTTCTTATATATAACAGATTTCCTATCTCTCTACCACTATGGAGCTGGAGAAATGGCTCAGTGGTACAGTGTGTATTTACTGCTAGAGATAGCCTCCAATTTTAGATAAAAATTCCTCCCCATAAAGACCAAAATAAAAGACTTCTATAAGCTTACACATACTGTGTACTGTCTGCTTGAATTCTCACTGACATAATACATATACATAAATAAAATCAATATAAATATTTCATATTTGTGTGTTACCATACAATTTACAGAGTATTTTAGCAGTTTGCTAATTCTGTCCCTATATGGTTATTGAGTGGTACAAGTGGTAAAAACATAAGAAATGAAGGCCAGAGTATGATTTGGAAGAATTAAGTAGTAAAATATCTCCACAAACAGCATATTTATTCATTTTGGCTTTACATGTCATAAAAGAATCCCAGAATTGCTCAATGGACTACTACTCACATAACACTCAGCCTGAAGAAAGCTTGCGTAGTAGTTTAACAGGAATCAAATTCATTCTCTCCATTTTCTCATCTGCACGGTGGGCACTAAACATGACCTTACTCGCAAGAATTCTGTGCAAACCATTTGGCTAAACTCTCCCAAGCTCTCCCAGCCCTCATGTAAGACATGGACACAGTAAGTATAAGAAGATACGGTCTTGGATTCTATGACATTAACAATTTGAAATATATGACCAAGCTCCCTTCATAGGTAGCAGAATTCATCATAACCAAGACCACAAAAGCTTACATTTTACCTGAGGTAAATTAGGAGATGTGAGGACAGACAAAGAAAGTAATGACAGTCAAATAACACTAAGCATTTTTAAAATCTACTTTCGGTGCTTGGCTACATCTCTGCTTCACTAGCCAAACAATATTTGTAAGATATTCCTGGCATGTTGGAAGTTGCATGGCAGTATCATACTGACAAAAATAAGTCTTTTATGAGTAAGGAGTCTATGGGAGCTGTCGAGGGGGGAAACAAGCATTAGCATAGAAATATGAATAAGCTAACCGGATTCTTTATCGTTTTAACATTTTTGAAAACATAAATGCAATTTTTTTATATATAAGGGAATATCATTCCACTTCTAGCCCATATTTATAGGATCTAATTCCTCTGATTTCTAACCATAAAGAGGACACAATGGAGATGGAATTTTAAGGCAACACAGGAAACTAGGGAAGTCTGATCATTCTCCTATATTCTATTGTTTACTCTGAAGAGGTCCTTCTGTTCTTTAGCTGGTTTCCCCATTCTTCTTAAGTAACTGGAAATACGTCTTTATCCATTATGAATACAGGATTGCATGAGCCATCTGAAGGCAGCTAGGAGCACCAAGTCTCAGAGGCCAATCTGCAAAAGCTGAGCTTATTAGCGCTTGCCTGGCAAGTTTTCCAATGCTCCTTGTAGAGATTCCAGCCCAGTGCTCCTTACTGGTAAGCACACTCACCTTCTGCAGTATCAACCCTTCCGTGTCTAACTCCTCTTTTCTAGGACATGTGTCTGTCCCCATGGATTCCAGTTCCAGAACCATTAATGCTGACTAGTACATCACTGCCGCCTTGGGCTTCCTTTTTTTTCCAATATGTTTATTTGCTACTTCCTTTTTAAAATAAAAATATGACTTCAACTAGACAAAATCAAGTTACCCATAACATTCTTCACTAGAAGCTTCACATTCCTGGTCCCCTGGCTGCCCAAATTCAGGGAAGCAAGAGAGGGGACTCCCTAGTTCTTGCCCTGCTGTGCCCTTCTCAGCACTTCCAAAGCTCTGTTTCCCAGGATTGCACCACACTTTTTTTTTTCCTTGAAGTTCCTGACATCACTTATTCAGCTCCTTCCATGTAACTTCCAGTAATTAGGTCATCATTTTCCTGTGTTTTATGACTACAGTATTTGTCTATACTAAAATGCAGATTCTCTTTCCAGTTATGGCATGTATCTAGATCCTTGTGGGTAGCAACCAAATGTGTTTTTAACAACAGAGCACACATCTTCTTCTACGTTCCATCCTGTCTCTCCCTTTCTGTCCCTCTGCAAACCTTTTACAAAAGCATCTTGCCCTCAGATTTTCCACTTTCTCCTTTGCTAACTCAATGACTCACACTGAGCCAAAGTTCACACAAAACAGTTTTTGATAAGCATGCACACTATTTTCTCATTATTGAAACCAAAGAATATTTTGTCTTTAGGTATAGATCACAGTTTTTTGAGCTTTTCTGCTACCTTTGATTCACCCAGATCTCTCTAACACATCATTCGTCTATTTTTAATTTTTTTTTTTTTTCATTTTAAATCAACTTCCTGTCCTTTTGCTCTGGTGTGACATTTTTCCAGGTTTTGGTCTTCAGCCCCTGGGAACCCGTGAATACACTCCTGGCTGATCCTCTCCTCTTTCTGCCTTCCCCTGTCTGTGATGATGAAATACAATGCACAGTCAACTGCCATGGTACGTCCCTGAGCTACACATTTGAACCAAATACACAGCCTTGCTTTTCTCTTTTCTCTTTTTTTCTTTTCTTTTATTTTTTAAAAACATAGGGTCTTGAGGAGTTGCCCAGACTGACCTCAAAATACTACTCAGCATTGCTACGTGGTAGGCCCACACACAACTCAAATGTCTCATCTCTCTCTTAATTTTAGAAACATCACCTTAATCATTCAGACATCCTAGAACAGAAAGACATCAGACTCAAACCAAAATAAAACAAAACAAAGAATCCCACACTTTTCCATGGTAAACCAAAAGGCAACACCAGGCCCAAGATGTGTATTTTCACATGATAAGCTCAAGGAACCTTACATATTTCTTATGAGACGGTCTCTGTCCTTTAGGAAGAGGGCTGCTGACTCCTGGAAGGAACTCTGAAGACCAAGACACCGTGAGACAACGGTTTCTCTTCTAAAATAACCTTTGAGTAGGATTCTACGTTTGGATAACTATTGACCAGTGTGAAGAAGGAATAAAGTGTGGACATACCTGAAAATATTATTTTATATATTGTGATCTCCCAGGCAATTTCCCTACCTAAATATTGTAATATAAATACATACATTAACAGAATGAAGAAGAAGTGGGTGAGTATGGGCCTAAGAGAGAGAAAGTTAAAATCACAACTACTAGTATCACAAACTAACAGATAATGGCTAAATGAATGAGTATGAAATAGCAGGCCAAGAAACACAGCAAATTGAGGAAACATTTAAGACACACAAGATGCTAATACAGGGCAAGAGGCCTTTTTTTTTTCTTTATATAAACCTGTGATATAAACTCGTTTATTTTACTGTGTGTACACTTAGCGATTTTGAAAGAAATAAAGATATAAATTTAAATGAACTAGAGAAACAGTATATGTGTGGAAAAATACATGGATTACAAGAAGCTTGGAAAAACTTGCTTCAGCTAATTTGATTACTATGCTTCCTCTGCAAACCGTTACTTAGAAGACCAAATGACAATGAATCATTTAAGAATAAGTTACAGAGATAAAAATAAACATCAGTAGTCTGCAACTGTGATGCTGACAAAGATCCTCTCCATTTAAGTTTCATAAATATTTCCCAGTATGTTCCTCTCATTGAAGGTTCAATTTTAACATTTACTTCTTTATGCTTTTAAAATTTGGCTGATAATCAGAAATAAAAATGTAGAAATCTAGATATGTCCTTATCTTCCAGAAATCCAGATGAACTTCTAACAAAACAATATTATTCTACAGTTGATTCTGTCCTTTGAATCTTAAAATCTTACTTCAATTATTTCAAACTGTTTTAATTTTGTTACCACCATCGACTGGCAATTTTTCAGGTTTTCAAGTTTCCCCAGTAAGGAATTTCAAAAAGAACCCATTACCACTAGTGATTTTGCATCTAATCTGGGACATGAATATTACTATCTTAGAGTGGAGTTAAGATATTATCAAAGGAAAAATGCCAGTATATTTTTTTAATATCAGTTAATTATAGACCTTCACCTCTTCTCCAGGTTTATGTGTTATTATATGAAGATAAGAAATTCCAGTTTTTACTTATTACCTGTTAAATTTTATAATTATGTTCACTGAATTTATTTTTCATCAAATCCTAAGATTTACATCTAGAATAAGCTATCAAATTATGGATTTTGACATTTAATTCTCTTGAATGCAGTGCTGCTTTTCTTTGGTCAAAACAGCATTAAAATAGGTAATTATTTGCAGATCCTTATTTTAAAAGTATTTTAACATTATAGAATTGGAAAAATACGCATTTGCTTACATTTCTAGACATTTTGACTAGAGTTGATAAAACACATATTTCAAATAAAAGTTAAGGATTTAGAATATTACATGCATTTATCCTTAACTAGGTAAGAATAATGAGATACAAATCAAAGGAAAAAAGAAAGTCATGTGTTTTAAAAGAAATGAGATCTATGTTTCATATCAATGTGAATTAAAGTTAGAAGACCCTTAATAGAAGTATCTGAAGTCTGTATGCTAACCTACGTGGCATTGTTTTTTTCCCCTAAGACATCAATAAAAGATGTGAGAACCTTCAAGAGAAGCAAAAACATCTATTTACCTTTGGTGCTGCAAGTACTTTCATTCATAGTTGTAATATTTAAAACAATCATTTTTTGGTTTCACTTTAATGGATTTATATTTTAAATTTTCTAAGTCAATGAGTAAATTGTATCTGCATGGGCTGATAAAACATACAATGAATGCTTAAATTTTTAAAAAAAACATGTAGGAGACATGTTATTATTAATCCCTCTCAAAAACCTCCTCCTCATTTTAGATAACTCATCCCATCATTGTAGCCACTTTATGAATTAGTTCTGGAAGTCCTCTCCATGTTTATAGGTGTGATCAAAAATTCAGTGAATGCTGTGGCTGAGTACCATTCAACAGAAAGGCAGGCTTCTAAAAAATCACAACATGCCTTCACACGCCTTATTCACTCAGTCTGGCAACCTGTGGTCCTGACATCCTCCCAACAAAATGACCCCGAAAGGTCCATATTGTCAATCAGTTTACCAGATGGAGGCAGCCCCAACACCCCAAACTAAAGGCACTCACAAAAGAGGATTTCCAGAACTGCTTTATAAAGTGTCAGCAACAATGGAATAAGTGTGTTTGAAGTCAGAAGGAGGATTTTGAAGGAGTTAATGCCAACGTGTTTTTTACTACAAAATTTTTTTTAAAAATTAAACATTCATTGAGACTTTTATTGGCAAAAGGACAACTAGAGACCATAAGTGAAATAGATCAGACTTTCATGTGTAAACATTGTATTGTCTCCCTAGTGTGAAAAGCTGAAAGACATAAAATATATATAAAAGATAGCGAAGACAGGTACACTAATTTCTCTTCATTCATTGAACAGAAAGGTGTGTGCTAACACTGTTTGCACAATTAAACGCAATATCTTATGCTCTGAGTAAGTAAAGACAACAATATGCAGTGTATTAATCATTGTTACCTTCTAGTTATCTTATTTTGAAATTTTATTTTATTTTTCTCTTTAAAATAAAAAATAAACATTCAAAGTAGTCTTTGATCAGACCTTGTATATTATCTATATTCAACCATGCTCAGTTACAATGAAAATGAAGTTTAGAACTGAAGCCTAAATTTTAGGCAACTGAATAAGACAGACAAGGAATGCAATGTTGAATATTCACTTACAACACCGTAGGAAAATCTATGGTGTTAAACTAAGGGAACAAAAAAGGAACTGCTGTAATGTCTTTATCATATCATTTTTCTAATTTTCCTCACCCTTAAATTTATTGAAATTATTTTCTAATTTCTGATGTTCTTATTCTTTTGTCATTTTCTATTCTCTTTCTGGAATATTCTTGGACTTTCAGTGAGACGTGGTCTTCTGGCCTGATTTGTCATATATTTCTTAAACCAATTCTGAAAACCATGTCAAGTATTTCCAATCTCTTTAACTTACTCATAATATCCTCAAATAGAATAATTTAAACAATTCATGATTTTCCCATAAACTCCTCATAATTTACTGCTAACAATGTAAAGACTACCACCAAAAACAAACAAGAAAGACTTCATAAATTATGTTGCAAGGATATATTTTCATAACATTGTAAAATAACCGAAAGTCACTTTTGTAACTGTTTCACTTGTTTAAATTGTACACAAAAGGGTTTGCCAATCTTCTGGAAGTAGCATGCAAATTCTACATCAATTCACAATAATCTAGGGTTTTGTGTGCCAGTAACAACCTTTGGTAAAAAAAAAAATCAGTATAGATGCAAATTTCCATGCCACAGTATCACCAGGGGAATGTAATGTATTTTCACTGCAAATAGGCTAATGTTTCTCCTTGGGAGACTCCTGGACCACGAATGGGAGCATGACCTTACACTCACCCAGATGGGTAGGGGTTGTAAAGGAGAGGATGAGACAGGGGCTGTGGAAAACCTTGGATCATGGAAGGAAATTACTGTTTGAAAGCTACAAAATGCATACATTTTGAGGGAAGAAAGAAGTGTTTATTGGACACTTGCTGTGTATTTATTGACTGTGTTGAGTACAGTATTCACACGATCATATTGAATTCTCACAATCAATGAGGGAAACTAAGCCTGAAAAGATGGAACCTGCCATAGACCTAGAAATCATCACCAATTTCTCCCTCAACACTCTACATAGACGTTTTACCTACTGAGAGTAGAATTTGTGTGCTTATTTCACTCCTCCAACTCTGATTTCAAGCCTGCAAAGGCAAATGTAGCTGTAATTTCTACCAAACCAATCGTACAACTACATTGTCTTTCAAAACAGGTAGTGAGCAAATTAATCCAAAAAATTGCTACTATCATGTTCCTTTTTAAATTTAACCATATTTGATATATGGAATAGCAGCTGAAAAATGAGATGATGTAAGAGTTTTAAGAAGTGAAGCTTATCCCAATGAAACAAAAATTTCAACTTAAAAATTACTCAGTATTTTTGCCCACTTATCTCTTTGCAATATAGCCACAATCATGGGCCTTATCACCCCACTAATCCGTTCTTCCTGGCCCCTAGAAGTTAATGTGCCATTTTTCAGTTTCTCACATTGACTTAAAAAAAAATTATCTTATGCATTGCCCATACTAGATTAGCAGTGTTCTTCATGGGCTCTTCACATCCAGGAATCAATCAAATTCACCCTTTCAAGAATTCACAATAACATCCAGAAAATACCTGCTGAAGAGTAGTCACGCTATGATAAACCTCCAAAAGGAAGAACACCCTCAAATAATAATATCGCGCTTCCTGTTATCCTTATTTTCAAAATAAGGTGAAAATGCAGGTACAGAGTGCTTCCGTCTGTCTGTCTCATGTCTGCCCCTGCGGAGGTTGCCAACCCCTCGCTGGAGTTCTGGAGGCTTCTGAGAATGCCTTGAGGAATGTGACAGTTTAATGTGGTTCTTTGCACCCTGCATCTAAAGGAGTCCTGATAAGACCCTTTCAGAGCATGTTCGTTTGCTTGTTTGTTTGTTTGAGACAGGGTGTCTCCGTGGAGTTCAAGCTGACCTCAAACTCACAGTGATCCTTCGGCCTCAGCATCCTGAGTTCTGGAATTATAAGGCGTGTGTTACTACGCCCAGGTTAAAGCGGAATTCTAATTTGCCCAATGAAATGTACTTGTAGAAAAATGAGGAACTGTTTCACTGTTTATGTTTTCATTCTACTCAGGAAATCTTTCTCCTTCTCTCAGAATAATTTTAGACTGTTTTATTAGACTATTTTAATTTAAATAGTTTTGTGGCATATCTGCTGTGGTAAAAATCCATTATATAAAGTTTTATACCCTGGTAAATCATGTTAGTAAATTAAATACACCTGATTGAAGTTATTAACTTTTATTTTTTCCACTTTCTATTTTCTAAAAATACAACAAAAATAAAAAATACAAAAGAGCGAGCAGAATGTCATCTCCCTTTTTTGTCTTATTTTCCTCTTTCCACTCTTATACCGCATTCATTTCAGTAACAGTGATCAGAATTCGCAGTAAAAATTTAGTGACTTCATTACTTATTTTTTTTAGTTTTAAAGAGCAAAAGTTTAGGAATTCTGACTTCTATCAACTTGGAGAAGAATAAAGCTTCCAGTGATTAGTCTATTCTAAATCTGATTACATCTTTTAAAAGTGGAGTAGAGAGATTCTTCTTGATCCTCTAAGGAGTCTCCATTCTCACAGAAAAGCTTTTTTAAAGGGCAGACATTCTTTGGTGCATTTTCCTGCATAATTATCAACACAAACTGCAAAAAACCACACTAATAAAAAAGTGCTGAAATTCTTTAAAATGTCCTACAGCTAACAAGCAAGAATTTCAGGAGACTCCGTCATCCCAAGTATGTTCTTT